GAAAAGGACCCTCCCTTTTTTCTCTTGGAAGACAGCCACACTTCTAACTCCTAGCTTGTGCGACTCTCTCCCTGGTAAATAAATATATTGTTTTCCTTATAGCATTGAATATAATCTTTATCTGGTGTCAGAAGTGGGATCATGAATTTCCATGCAGAATGACAAAATCTTTAAAGGAATTTTAGAAACAAATGATCGGAGAAAAGAATGGGTTTTTGGTAGCAGCATTTTCTCAGGTGGGCTCTGTTTTGCTTAAGGGCGTCTTCCTGACTCAGCATAAGCAAGCAAAAAAATAAATAAAAAAATAAAAATAAAACCAGCAAGGTTCTTTTAAGAGGCTCTACTAACAATTGAAAGGTGTGTAAGCACAGCTGGAAGTGGCAGTGACCACATCTCCAAGCCGGCACCTGGAATCACGCTTACGCCTGCCATCTTGGAAAAAACGGCAGTTTAAACAGCCGTGGTTTTAACAGATAAGACATGTGGCTAGAAAAACATAAAGATTTACAGTAAAGTCAGACTTGGGTGAAGAAAAACCTTTAAAGGTTTACAGTGTGTTTAAAAATATATGTAAGATTGAGAGACAAAAAGAAAAGGCGTAGTGGTAAATAGAGAAGCCAGCTGTGGTGGCACATGCTGGTATGAATTGCTTCAGAGACAGAGGCAGAGTCAGGCAGATTTCCAAAGAGAAACCCTGTCTCAGAGAAAAATAAATCAAAGTAAAATAAATAGAATAATAATAGATAAATAAATAAGCCACGTAAAGATGGAAAATACACAGAAAATCTGGATACTGTATGCTATTGTGTTTTTCAGTTTTTTGATTGCTCAGAAAGGAACAACTGCTAAAGTACACTTGATTATAAATGCTGCTGAATTAATTCAATTTATATCTTTTGAAAATGCCTTGACCTCAAAATTTAAGTGTAAGGATATGTTACTTGGGAAAGGAGTTTTTGTTTATGTTTCTACAGAAAATGAAAAGCTGAGGATTCCTTCCAGGCTTCTGTGGTTTGATGAACCAAGACCCCTGGAAGCAGTGGGCCTGGTGTTCCAACAATTGAGACAGCTAAGATGATAGAGCTTTACAGACCACGAAAATAAGGACTTATATAGGTTTCTGAGTTTTGTCATGATCCCCATGGTATAAACAGCGCCCCCTTCCAGCATGAAGCAGTTTGGAATGAGCGACGTCCTAATTCCCATCTTGTTTATAAATCTTTGTTTTCATTTAAATGGGGTTGTTTATAATTGGCTAATGATCACAGCCAATCTCTTTTTAATGGTAAAAAGGGGAATTATGGTATGGGTATGGTTTTTCATTTATTGAGACAAATTCAAGGTCAATTTTATGATGTGTATATTTCTCCTCTTGATTAAGTATTGTGCTTATACTGATCTTTTAAAACATAATGCATAATTGAGTACAGATTATAGATAGTTACTTATAATAGTCAGAACTTATAGTTAGGTAAATTAGGTTTTGTAGATAATACAGAAATATATTTGAGATAGGTAGTCTTCAAACCTTTCAAAGACCTTCAGAAAATGGCATATAAAATGGTTTAGGGTTTTTCTTGACAATGAGAAATGTCCTGGCAGCACCAATTACATCTGAGAGGAAGATGGGCATCAAAAAAACTTGTTTTGGAGTTTGCTTTCAACATGGCAAGATTAGCCATTTGGGAAAGAAACTGCTCTTGCCTAGACTGTTTGACTGTTGCTGTATAAACTGGATATGCAGGACCCACAGGAATGTGATTGCTGAACTCAAACAGTCCTTCAGGGTTCCTGATTCATGGAAGAGTCTACGAGACTTTCTGCAGGACACAGAAAAATGACTGACAGACTGCTGATGCAGATGTACAGTTTGAAATTTCCTGCTTTGCTGAGAAGTCTTCCAGACACACTGTGGCCTATGGGCTGAAGATGGATGTCCCAACAATACAGAGGAACTTCAGGTGACTGTACAGGTAGCAAGATATCTGTCAATTCTAGTGTTTATATATTACCCTTCTGTGGTCTTTGATGGAGTTGAAGACAGATAATTACAGATTTCCTTAGTTATGATAAAAGATAAGGTACATATAGAACTTTGGACTCACAAGGATGGGATGGATGATATTTTCTTTATATTTTGCTAAAATATTGTAACTGTGTTCTTACTGTTCTCTTATATATAATTTGACTATGCTAAAGTTAAGACCTTTCTTTTTGTTTAGACAGAAAAGAGGAGATGATGGGGGAAGTCCTGTGTATTTGTCAATAAAGCACTGTTGGCCAATAGGGAAGTAAGATAGGTGGGACTAGGAATCCAGGAGGACTCTGGGTAGGAGAAACACAGGAGAAACACAGAAAGTCAAAATGTAACGCCATGGGGTAGGAAGCCTGGAAACCTCTCCGGTAAGAGAAATACTTAGATTAGCAATTGTTGGATAAATACTTAAGTCATAGCTAGCCAGTAAGAAACAAGCAAGGCCAACAGCTTCATAATTAGTATAGCCTTCTGTGTGTTCATTTGGGACTGATGCAGCTCTAGAACTAGGCTGGCGGGAAGGCTTCTCTCAAGGAAAAACTCTTCCCTTTACAGACAGGTTACTTGGGAAAAAATTTCTGCTTTTGTTTCCCCAGAAAATAAAAAGCTGTGGGTTCCTTCCAGATTAGTATGGTTTGATGAAGCAAGACCACCTGAAGCAGTGGGCTAGGTGATTCAACATCTACAACAGCTAAGATGGTACATCCTTACAGACCCCGAAAATATGGACTTATACAAGTTTCTGAGTTTTGTCATGATCTCCATGGTATGAACAGCGCCCCTTAACAGCAGGAAGTAGTTTGGAAAGAACGACACCCACATTCCCAAATATTGTTTATAAATGTTTGCATTTTTACAGGATTGGTTATTACTACAAATTTAAGGTCAATTATATGAGTCATCTCTAAAAACTTTTTACAAGGAGTGGGTATGGCTGTAGCCCCTGAGAAAAATAGCAAAAGCCTATAACATGGCCTGAGAGCCAAAGAAAACTGTATGGAAGATTCTATAGAGTAACAAACAGTTCAAAAAATTTTCAAAAAATAAAAAATGGGGAAGACATTGGGGCCTAGCCCCCACAGGGTCTCTGAGTTGTTTGTCAGCTGATAGCCACAGGTGCATCCTGTTTTCTAGTCCTGGCTTACTGCCCCCGCATTGCCCCACTGACATCAACATCTAGCACGAGGAAAACACGCTCTCTTCCACCTGGGGTTTTTCTACTATGTTGTAAGACTATATATAACACTGCTCCCTTCTACGAGAGAGAGACCTCTTAGCATTGGCAAAATAAAGACACTTCTTAGTACAAACAGCTGGAAATCTGGTCTTTTTTTCCTGATACTTACCAAGATTGCATCATTCTTTACCTTTGAGAGACAAAGTATTAGAACTCAAATATTCACTTTTAAGTAGTTGTTTAAAGTCAAATACATGGAGTATAAATGGCTTAGTGAGTGAGAAGAAATGTTTACACAGATCAGTACCCTGTTTTGAATCTCCAGTACACATTAAAAATAAAGTCAGGCAATTCTGTGCCTACCCATAACCACAGCATAATCATGGGCAGAGAAAGGATGATTCCTGGGTGTTGCTGGCTGTCAATCTGGGTCTAGCTTCAATGAGAATCCTTGATTGAAGGAAGAAAGACAAGAGTGGAAGAGCAGGGTTGTTTTATTTTACATCTTCAATTCTTTGAGAATTTAATGTGACTACTATGTTTACATCATCCTATCCCACCTTTTCCTCAGTCCAACTCGTCCCATGTCCACCCTTCAAATATGTGATGACTTCTGTGATAACTACTGTAAACAGATGAGTCCATTTAATGTTGCTTATGCCCATGTATTTTTTTGAGTGTTTGGTGCTGTTAGTTTGGCATTAGATATCGAATGACGGGGTTTACCCCTGGAGAATATTAATTCTCCCTCTCTCTGAAACCATTGATTGCCTGTAGCTCTTGGTCTAGGGTGGCATATCATAGGGGCTATCATGATGCAGGCCTATTTGGGGAACTATATTGAGATTTCACTCGCTATATCACCCCTGTTTTGTCTAGAAGAAACTATTGAAAAACCTCAATACCCCCCCCCTTTGAGAAGGTCGCCTCAGTGGAAAATTCCCCAAGGTCCTTTCCCCTAGGCAGAGAACCAGGCCTAATTAGAAAGAACATCGGGTCCAGAGTGCTAAGAAAGGAAACCGGCAGGCTGTAGAGATAAGTGTACATCTGACCTTGTGGTTTCTCCAAGGAGGATGAGTTATGTCTGCGCTTCTGACAATCCCCTATTGCTTGCCCAGATCTGCACCTGCAGTAGCTCCACTCCTTACAATACCCCTATTACTTTGCTTGCCAAAATTATGTATATAAAAAGAAAGCTTTCCTAGGGCCTGTGCACGTTCAGTTAGCCCACAGACACCTGTGTAAAAATTAAAAACCTCTTGCAGCCAACTGTCTGGTTATTGAGCTCGGGACGTCACCGGGGTATTCAGCCTGAAGCCGGCTTACTTCAGGTTTTTCACTACCTCACAGCATATGTCCTGTCCCTCTTTCCAATCCTCTACCAAAATGTCCCCTGAGTCTTAGGTATAGGAGTTGTTTTGTAAACACGTACAATTTGGTATCTCACACTTTGTCCCCTAACCTCCATATGCAAATTGAGGAATATCAGTGGTGCCTCCAAAGAGAATACATGTGAAGATTTGTATTCAGTCTTCAATTATGTAGAAAATTTTATGTTGCTTTAGGTCACTATTGTCTGCAAATGTTCTGTTACTCCTGTCTCTCCAGGTCTGTCTATGCTTTAATTTCCCTTCAAGGGAAGACCCTTCAGCATCCGTCCCATCATCCTGTTCATTAGATCTAGTCACATGCACTAAGTCCATGCACTTTTACAAACCATATTATGCATGGATGCTGCATAAGTAATAAGCAGTACCAAGAGCTGACAGTCCCTTTCTGTCCCCTTAGAAGTACCTGAACATGGTGACAATGTGTCTTCACCAAAGGACCAGAAAATACCAGTGCAGGCAATGAAGGTAAGGACCCCTTTGTTTTCTAACATGGAAAGGTAACTTTGATGATTTATGTTTCAGTGGATAGGATATCCAACTAAACATAAAAACTGAGCAGGGCATCATGGGTATTACAGAGTTAGTTTAGCAGGAGCATGTCATCTATAAAATTGTGTGTTTTTCTTAAGGGTTCTGTCCTACTTCTTTTTCCAGCCTGTTGTCTAGATGGAGTTTGAGTTGTTCCACAAACTTCTATGTGGTTGGAAGCTTCATGCAGGCAATATTTGAACATTGGGGGTATAATACATCCAAAACATGTGCATTCATGCAAACAATTAGATGGTGTCTCATAGAGAGAATTAATCTCCCAAAGCAGGTTGTTAAAGGGGTCTGCCATGTTGTGATGTAGCTTAGGGAGCCCTCAGGAAAGGCCAAGCAGAAGAGAGACTCTCTGCTCTCACTTTGAGTCACTATATTTGTGCAATGTATTAGTATTGTCACAAAATACATAGCCCTTATTTTCTGTGACATTAACATATAATGTATCAAGGCAGTTTTTATGAGTTTTTCCTATCCTGCTTTACACAGTAAACAGCTGTGCAAACGGACTGTCTATGACCCGAACCTCAAAGAGTTTTCTTTCCTTTCAATTACAGGTGGAGTGTAGAAAACTCACAGGAAGTACGTATTGTGGAATCTCTTTTTCAAGACACATGTTAGATAAGAAGTATTTAAATTCTCACTGTCTTTTCTATGATGCACCAACGTGATGTAAGTCTCGTTTGGGAGTGAAATGGAAAGTTCAAGGGGAAGAAAGCAATGCCTGAAGTAGTCATTCCGACTCTTGTGTCTGCAGTCATTGCATTCAGCTCCAATGACTTCAGCTATTTTGGCATTTTTGTGCACCAGGCAGTGTCTAAAAAGATTTTTTTCCAAAACAGTTATCCTTATTATACAATCCACTTTCCAGTAACAAATTTGTCAATTCAAAAAGTAAGATACATATTTTTAAAATTTATTTTCCATTTTACATACCAATCCCAGTTCCCTCCCCTCCATCCACTCCTCAGAGAGAGTAGGCCTTCCTTGCAGGAGTAAACAAAGTCTGGCATACCAAGTTAAGGCTGGACCAAGCCCCTCCCCACTGTATCAAGGTTGAACAAGGTGTCCCATCATAGGGATTGGTCTCCAAAAATCCAGTTGATGCCCCTGGGATAAGTTCTGGTGCCACTGCCAGCACCCCCCGCCCCACCAGATCAAGTTTTACCTACAAAAAAGTGTTCAAACCTCACCAGACAGATGTGTGATAAGTGTGTTTCCTTGTGTAGCTTTCTGAAGAATCATAGCCCAAAATGTAGAACTGTCATCAGTCTTCCTAGTTATGAAGCTCAGGAATCACTTCTTACTTCATCAAGAGCTCAAGAATCCCTATGTGAGAGTTCCAGATGCCCAGCATCTGCCCGCAGTAATCCAGCCCTAGGGAGTTGCCAGACGATATTGAGCACAACAGTGTGCACAAGGCCAGGGCAGTGCTCTTTACCTGCCTGTGAACGCTCACAAGTACAATATATGGAAAAATCCATAAGTTTGGTCAGATCAGAGAGATTGACTATATGAGACATTACATTGAAAAATAGTTTGGATGTGTGTGATAACTGGATTTGTGGTAGAGATGGCTCATTCCAGTAAGAACTGGTGGAAAGGCTTAACAGATTAGACGATGTTAACATAAGAGCCCTAAGAGCCATGCAATTTATGGGCAATGTCCATTAAGAACTCCAGACACCCCTTGGCTTTTTAGTTTCACTGGGCCTTTATTTTGGATATATACCCAAATATATATGCTGGAGTTTGTATTCCAATATTACTGCTACGACTCCTCAGTCTCCATACTGTCTGCTAAGTCTGAGCACTCATTGGAAGGATACATGCAGCAGTGAGTTACTCAGGCAGAGTATGGCTGGGTATCATCATTTTGAAGATGCTGGCTGTGTTTGAGTACCCTCACAGTCAAGATTGTCAGAGAGGGTCTATGTGAGCAGGAATGTATAGACCAGTGTGTTCCTAGCATGTGCAAAGCCCTAGATTTGATCCCCACACTGTGTATGTGCCCATGGTAACACACCTCTGTAAATATAATTCTTCAGAGCTGGAGTGAGAGAATCAAAAATTGAAACTCATCCTTTTATGCTTAGGAATCTTGCATTCAAGTTATTACTGGAAGTTTAAAAAATCATATAGGGAACGAGCTTGGCTGTTGGCCCTGTAGAGCCTGTGGATGGAAAAGGAGTGACTTCAATGAGTCAGAGCAGAGCGGGTATGGTGCAAACTTAGTGCTAACATAGATTCTGCCCACTTTATCTGCATTGTCCATACACTGTCTGACAGTATTTGTCATCTAGGAAACCTTGTGCATCCATATCACTCAAATGCCATACTGATTTTCTTGCCTGGTCATGTTGAAGACCTAAAGAGTCAGCCAGTTGAAGAGAAGTTTCATTTATGTCAAACCATCATTCAATAACATGTTTTAGAATGAGTATTTCTAAGGACTATGCAAGAATCTATAATGTCTCAGTGTGGTTGCTGGGTGATAAAAATTAATCACTAAGAGGGATATGACAGGTTGTAGATGCAGGATAAAGATGACTAAGCCAGTGTTCTCTACTTCTTTTGGAACAAACTCCAATTATGAGTAGGAATTGGAAGGTAAAGAACATCTCTCAGGATGCTTGTCAGGAGTTTGGTTACAGTGACAGGAATATAACTGATATGGTACCTAAAGATGGAAAGTATGGGCTGCACACTGTTCTTCTCAGCTCATCTAAGGACACCATATGTTCTCTGTGAGCTGTAAGTACCATGGTTAAATGCTGAATGAAAGTCAACAACAACCATGGAGCCAACACTATGAGACTTTCATATCCAGGATCATATGCATGAACACACACACAGTAGAACCCATCTCTCTGCTTAGGCAATTCCCTCCTATGTGTGTGTGTTCATATGCATCACCAACATGTGAGAGAAAGTTATTATTGTATGGTTATCTATTCCTGTCTGTACCAGGTGAAGTCACAATGACGCATAGAAGATGAGCCTCAGCTTTCCTCTGCCTGGTTCATGCTATGGAGTGAGAGCCCAAGGTGACATTAAATGTATTTTTAACTCATTTAATGCAGCAGGATAGTGGATAACCTCTTGTGGCCTCCATGAAAATGGGTACAGGCAGGTGTGCGCACAAAGGATGAACCTCAGGCATGTGTACTGACAGACTGTGGGCTTCAAAACTATGTTAGCCTTATTGTATCTTATGTGTATTAATGCTTTGCCTGTATCTATTCATGTTCCTGCACCACCAATCCCAGTTCCCTCTCCCTCCTATTCTCCCATGTCCCTCACTAACCCCCCATCCCACTCCCCAGGAAGGGTGGGGCCTTCCATGTGGGATCATCAAAGTCTGTCGCATCATTTGGGGCAGGACCTAAGCACTCCTCTGTGTATCTGGGCTGAGAGAGTATCCCTCTATGGGGAATAGGCTCCCAAAGTCCATTCCTGCACTAGGGATACATATTGTTCCACTGTCAGAGGCTCTAGCGACTACCCAGGCCTCCTAACTGCCACTTAAAGTTAGGAGGCCTGGTTTGTTCCTAAGCTGGTTCTCCAGCTGTCACACTGGGGACCATGAGCTCCTACTTGCTCAGGTCAGCTGTTTCAGTGGGTTTCCCCAGGATGGTCTTGGCCCCTTTGCTCATCACTCCTCCCTATCTGAAACTGGATTCCAGGAGTTTGGCTCAGTGCTTAGCTGTGGGTGTCTGCTTTTCCTTCCATCAGCTACCAGAGGAAGGCTATAGGATGTCATATAAAGTAGTCTTCATTTTCATTATAGGGAAGGGCATTTAAGGTAGCCTCTCTCCTGTTGCTTAGATTCTTAGTTGGGGTCATCCATGTGGATCTGTAGACATTTCCCTAGTGCCAGATTCCTCTAAACCTATAATGACTCCCTCCATTATGGTGTCTGTTCTTCTCCCCCCACCACTCAAAACTTCCTGATCCTTCATGTCCTCCTCTCCCCTCCTCTTTCTCCTACCCACCTCCCCATCCCCGCACCTCTATTCTCTGAATTTGTTCAGGAAATCTTGTCCCTTTTCCCTTCTTCAGGGGACCATATATGTCTCTCTTATGGTCCTCCTTGTCTCATAGACTCTCTGGAGATGTGGGTTGTAGGCTGGTAATCTGTTGCTCCATGTCTAAAATCCATATATGAGTGAGAACATACTGTGTTTGTCTTTCTGTGATGTTTACCTAATGCAGGATGGTTTCTACTATTGATAAATCTCCAATGTTGCCGCAGTGAGTACTGCACATCCAGAGGCTTCATGAGAAAAGCAATGGGGGCAGGGGACAGAGAAATGAAGACAGCTGAACAGTAGAGCCTCCAGTTCACTTGATAGCAGAGCTTCACCAGGATAAAGAATTGCTGTATCAAAGGCCTGTTCGGTTGTCAGGGGATATTGAGAATAGAGACCTTGATATAGGAGAGGCTATGTCAGTCTACTCCATTTCTTTAATGAATCCATCATCTTTGTGGCAGCATTCACCCACCGTCTACTAAGCCTGTCTGTGACCTTTAGTGTAGGAACTTGGGGGCAGCTCTGTTGAAGAGAGAACGGAGAAGCGATGTTTACTGTTTTGCTCCATGGCTTGTACAGTCTACTTTCTAATAGAAACCAGGATCAGCAGCCTATGGATGGCACCACCCACAATGGAATGGGCTCTCCTCCATCAGTCACTAATGAAGAAAATGCCCTACAAGCTTGCCTGCAACCTACTCTTGTGTGTGCAAATTCTCAAATGATACTCCCTCCTCCCAGATGACTTTAAATTGTGTCAGCTTAACATAAAACTAGGCAGGACTGGGGACATGAGGATGGAAGGTAAATGCATAGGTCAGGTCATACAGGTCCCTATGAACTGTATGTTTGGGGACAGGGTTACTTGTGTCAAAGCATATATGAGTGGCATTAAGAGAAAGGGGTGGAGAGGTGAGGCTGAGAGATGAGAAACCTGACCAGTCCACATTCAGTAACACCTTTTACAGGGAGAGGAAACTTGCTGGAGAGAGAAGAGCAATAGTCCAAGAACACTTTGCACTTTGAGGTAGCAAGGTCCCAAAGGTCTGTAGTGGCATCCAAGTCAGAAAGCACAACTTTGCCTTGCCAGGGGCTTCTTCAGGTATGAGTTACTGGAGGCACTGATAGAGGAACAGAGACACACAGGAGATGCAGCCACACTTTGGAAAAGTGCATCCTAGGCTAAGGGGACCATGCGCATAGCAGAATCCTCGTGAAATAGATGTTACAAAAAATGTGTGCAACTTTCAAAAGAAGCAAGAGAACTCTTGTATATTAATATACCAAAGATGTTGTCTGATGTATTTTTTACTCTTAACAATATAACCAGCAATATGTCATGTCCACATTGAATAGCACTGGTACTGGGATGATCATAAACTAATTTGAGAGTTAAATATTAGGACAAATTCTCTAAATTGGAAATGGAAAATGTCAAAAAACCTCTAAATCATTGGTGTTCTATGTTCTATGAGATATAAATTAGTTTAGGTATTCCTGGACACGACTATGCTAGGTAAAGAGTAAGTTCAATTAGTCTGTAACTTTTAATTCCAACTAACCAGTTAGACGATCAAAGGTCACACCTCTGGTCTGGACTGAGAGTGTAATACAGAAGGATATGCCTTCTAGTCTTTGGCCACATTCCCATTTCAGGTAAGTTTTCTGTAAGTTTTCACATACCCATTTCCAAAGGGTATGTCTTGGTGTAAGAAAGAGTTCACTGGGGTGGACTTGGTTTATTTCCATAGATGCAGCATGAATGTTCATTAAACGTAATCACCTCCTTGACTTTGATCTGCAAAATGGAAACTGGGCTATTATTTCCTGTCCAGTTTCCACATGCAATTGTAAGCCATC